AAATTTAAAATTAAAGTGAATGTAAGAGAGACATGGCACTACTGGGGAGAGTCCAGCGGAGGGCTACCAAGATGATTAGAGGGCTGGAGCACCTCTCCTATGAAGAAAGACTGCAAGAGCTGGGCCTGTTCAGCCTGGAGAAGACTGAGAGGGGATCTCATCAACGTGTACAAGTATCTGAAGGGGGAGTGTCAAGAGGATGAGGCCAGCCTCTTCTCCGTGGTGCCCAGCAACAGGACAAGCGGCAACGGGCAGAAACTGAACCACAGGCAGTTCCATCTGAACCTGAGAAAAAACTCCTTCACTGTGAGGGTGACAGAGCATTGGAACAGGTTGCCCAGAGCGGTGGTGGAGTCTCCTTCGCTGGAGATCTTCAAAACCCGTCTGGATGTGATCCTGGGCAATCTGCTCTAGAGGTCCCTGCTTGAGCAGGGAGGTTGGACTAGATGGTCTCCAGAGGTCCCTTCCAAACCTAAACGATTCTGTGATTCTGTGAAATAATCTTAAAAAAAAGTCCAACTCGTTGGAGAGCGGGACCCGCTCATTTTATTCTGTGTAGCTTAATAGACGCGACCAAACTCAGTTCAGCTCCTGGAACGTTTGGAAGGATCACACGAGGCTGCTGATCTTAACCCCGTGAAGGGCCAGCTTTCTAAGAGGGAGACAGGTTACTTTTGTCGAGGCAGTCAAGCAGAGAGAGCTGGCAGCCTGCTTCCCAGAAACCTGAGAGGCTTGGCGAAGGAACCCGCGAGACTCCCGTATTGTCAGTTCTTTATTGTCCTACCCGTTTTCACTGCAGTCACCTCAAATTCACTGCAGTCAGATTAAGCTGATTTGGGTCTGCCCTAAAGATCTGAGAGGAGGAAGGGGAGCAGAAAGTCTGCCTCCTCATGAGGCCTAGGCTGAAACTGGCTGTCTGAATGCAGGGCGATTTAAAGTAAAAGCCCAAGGCTGAGCCAAAGTTAAGGCTGCAACAAAGAAAGTGCTTCACGCAGCTCTGGTGAGGTCGTACCTGCCCCGGCTGCCCTTTGGGATGCAGTGCTGCATAGTGCAGGCTCACTTGTTTTTCCACACATCTCCAGTTTCATGTACCGCCTATTAGCTAGCATCAGAAAACAGTTTCTTGTACTCAGCTGGGTTTTTGGTAAAGGCCCTAGCAGGAACAAGTAACTACAGCATAGGTGCATAAATTTATTGAACTGGCTTTTTGATACCTTTTGCAAGTGCTTCCAGTATGTCCACAATTGCTAACAGTAGTTTTCCTTCGAATTCTATGCAAGCTGCTTTTAACTCACTTATCCTGGCTGTTTTGTGCCGGCATGGACTGATGTGCTGTGCAGGTGGGAGGGGAAAAAAGTTAGTTGTATTTAGCAACCAAGCCTATATCAGACCATGGTCTTTGCTGCCCATTTTTGCAACTTCATTGGCCTTTTTGTCCTTCAGGCCAGGCTCCTAGCTTTATTTTTTCCTGCCTTAACTACAGCACCTTTGCGCTGGTTTCCACTTTTGTGCCTTCATTCTGCTGGAGATCATCATGTCTCTCTAACTCATAAGCCTCATTCCTTTCCACTTTGCTAACCCAGGTCAGCCGCGGGGCTGAGTCCCTTTCTGTGTGCTTCTCATCCTAACTTTGGTCTCAGCCTCCTGTCTGGGCATGATCTTCTGCTGATTGCTGCAAACACGGACCTCTCTTTGATTTTGTTTCCTTCATTGTCGTGAGTTCAAAGCTACCTGGTATGGCCTATGCACTTCTATAATCTGAACTACTACCTTTTATGACTGCTTCGTACATCTGTTTGCTCAGTGAACCAATCCCTGCTGACCTGTGTGTAGCAGTCACACCTTCTCATGTATCTCTGGGAATCTGTGAAGTGGTGGAGTGTCCCTCTGCTAGTCAGTGTACTTCTTGCACGCATCCCAGTGCTCCAGGTTCACACGCCATTAGATAATCATACCAGGGAAGTAGCTTCACTCCTTGGACCACCTCAGGTTTGTCTCTTCCTCCGGATGGCAGCAGGCATTATCTGAACATTTGCATCATCATGGTAGTTGTTGCAGGGATTCTGGTGGGTAGATGCAAGATCTGAAAAGAAGCAGGTTGTCGTTATGTGAAAGCTATCTTCATTTAATCATACTCTCCCTTCTGATCTGTCTTTCTTGGTTAGATATGAATGCTTTCTCTGATCGCTATCACCTGCTTAAATGACCTCTACACCAAATCTCAAGATAAATTTATTTGTTGTTGGCATTATTGTCCTCCTCATAATTAGAAATGGCATCAGATGATCTCTCCCTGGAGAATCTTTGTCATGTGGTAGCAGCATTGACTGGTGTAGCTGGAAGAGGAGATGGTCTTACGTAGCAGAAGACTGAATACTTTTTTCTTTTTTTTCTTTTTTTTTTTTTTGCTAAACAGTGGCTTTCGGTATTTAAAATGTACAAATCAATCTTAATAGCTTGAGGCCTTATCCTGCACATCTGTCTTTTGCACATCGTGTTCTTGTATTAGTTTCTGTCTTTAAAGTGAACGGATCAGGTGGTCTGTGAGGACACAGAAGAAACTTTCCAAAGGATGTAGTTGCAAGATTTTGGCTTTAAGATGCTGTCTGTGCTGCCTGCAGCTCAGACATAATGCAAACAAGTTTTAAGTTAGCTTAAGGCACGGCTTGAGGGTGTAACTGCAGAAGTAGAGAGATCTGCACGCTTAGACAGCCTTTCTGAGAAGATAGGTAAGTAGTTTGGTGAGTAGCTGCTCGGAGCTCTGCAGTGCTGCAGCTGGATTGTGACTGCTACCTGAGGTAGTTTGTTTCAGCCAGTTAGGATGACTGCAACCAGTGAACTACGCACTTTTACACAGCCAGCAGTGAAACACCCTCTCCTTGAGGTGAATACGGACAGTGGTGAACTGCAAGTTCCTCACAGGGTAATCTACAAGGGCAAGAAAGGTCCCTCTGTGGGAACGCGCTCAGTGTCTCAACAATAAAAAGACCTTGAAACAAAATCCTCAAATTGAGTCCAGGCAAGCTCTGTTGGACAAAAGAGAGCTAGCTGTCTCTATTATCTACACAGATTACCCCGGATGTGGAATTTAATACTTTGCATCCTTTTTATAGCACTTTTCTCTATGGACCCAATTACTTCACCATGGGATATAAATTATTCCTGTTCATTTCTAAAGGAAGGGCTGCAGTCTATGCACTGGAAAACAAGTCCCTTTTTAAGGGGGAAGTTCTGTTTCCTGAGTGAGAGAGTGGACCAAAACTGTATTTGACTGGGCATGTAAAAATTGCCAGTGAAATAAGGAAGCTCAGTGTTGGAAAAGGAAGGTTACAAGCTTTATGCCTGAGATGCTTGTTTTTAAGACAAGATCTGAAGTTCAGTTCAGTATTTTGTTTTGTGTATTCATAGTTCAGTTTAATTCCGGATTTTTAAAAGTAGCATTAGTTAATAAGATGTTTATTACATGAAAATCTCTAAAAGCGTGTGCCGTCTTTACAGTTGTTTCAGCCTAACTCAGATCCTGCCCAGCTTTCCAAAAAGAGAGGTCCTCGTAGTCGTGCCAAGGGAGTGTAGGAGTCTTCTGGCAAAAAAGAAACAAGCCTTTAAGACCAAACTCCTATCTCTTACCAGGCTGGCACAAAATACTTCAAAATAATGTAAAAGGTCCTGTCATAGTTACCAAAAGAGGGCCCTGCCGCTCTGCGTGTAGCCTTTAATTATGTAGTACATCTGAAATTCAAGCAGGAAGATAACCAGGATTTCATTTCCACCTCCACGAATTCTTATTGTGAACAATAATGATAAAAAGTAAATTCATTTAAAAAAAAAAAAAAAAAGAGCAGAGAGTTTGGAATGATATTTCCACAGCCCCAGCTTCTGTGTTCTGTATCTCTAGCGTTATGATTCCCTCAGTTAGTCATATCAGAGCTGTGCATGTCCCTGCCGTACAGATTTGATCTGGATCAATGCAACAGCATTTCTATTAAACTGCCCTGGGAGTACGTGATATGGTATTTATGGCTGCCTCACCTTGTGCAGTAGTTGTAGAAGGACAGAGGATATAGTGCAGCATATAGCCCTCTAGCACAAATTTAATCAGTTGAAAAGATTTTTAAAAAATTGAGCCAACCAGGGTGTGTTTATACCAGAGCAGCTTTTTGGATTCGTAATCTGTTACTTGGATCCCAAAAGCCAATTTATTGTGTCAGTAAAACTAAACTTAACAGCCCAGAAGGTTGCAGCGACTCCGGATGCCGTCCGGTTCCCCTGCCCCTGCGCTGCCTTGCTGAGGTCTTGACGTGGTGCCGGGGCCCCGGGGCTGTTCGAAGCCCTCTCGAGCTGCCCCTCGGCACCAGTGCTCCTGGGGCGCTCTGCAGCACGGCACGCTCTGCCTCTCCCCTTGCCCCAGAGCTCGCTGCCTTCCTGAGAGGCACATGTCCCACCGCGTGGCATCAAGGTTACTTGGGGGGTGGTTTTCTATAGTTGCGTAGATCACAGGAAATTTCTTCCACCTAGGGACAGGACAGTGAAAAATGTCTTTGCGGGGACTTAGGCACTAAAGAGGTCAGTGCATGGACAAATATCTCACTCTTGGCTCAGAATATTACGTCCCGTGTGAAATTATTTTCCCTGAAAATGGTATATTTTCCTTAGTTTTTTCGTGGCTCAGATTCTACAGATTGTTTTGTCTTCTCCATAATCGTTTGCTGGCTTTATCCAGTCTACCGTAAACGTTAGGCAGTTACGGCATTTGAAGTTTATGTGCTAAGGTTTATGTTAATGTTCAGAAAAGCACCGTTTTGTTATGATTATGATGAAGGCAATTTTCTGAGACTGTAAAATGTGTATCAGTGTACTACATTTTTGGTTTCTGGTCCTGGTCCTGGTTCTAAATTGTCCCCATTACTTGCATTGAACGCTGCATCAGTACGCAGCTTTGATACAGGTACTGTATCCAAAGCAAAACAATTCTTTAAAAATGGGTTTATTTGTATTTCCAGCAGAATCATGGATTACTACGGGAAGTATGCAGCTGTCACTTTGGCCATTTTGTCTGTATTTCTGCATCTTCTTCATTCTTTTCCAGATGGAGAGTTCCTCATGCAGGGTAAGCTACTTTCGACATTCAGAAATAGTACAATTGTTTGTAAAAATCATTAATTAGTCTTTCACAATAAATCTTATCATTCAGTTGCGTTTATTGACACTGAGATGTGAAAGTACAATGAACCAAGACAATTTTGCCATAAGTATACTTCTTATTTCTTCTCTAAACTTGGTTTCTCCACGTCAGGAATCTCTCCCAAATGACAATGCCCTCATGTTAATGTGGGTAGTCTTAATGCCTGAATTATTTTCAAGTGGAAATTTTTCTTTTTGTTTTTGGTTTTTGTTTTGTTTTTGTTTTTGTTTTTTTACTTCTGAGATCAAAATGGCAAATTGTAACATCAGGAATGGCAGAACCGTAGCTTCTGCATGTATTCATGTGTAGAATATATTTCCTCTGTAGACCCCAGAATATGGGATTTTAGCATTGAAGATTTTTAAAGGGATTTTGAGGTTTCTTTTTTCAGTTTTGTGAAATTTAGCTCACATGTGTAAATACCTCAAGAAATATGACCTTTGTTTCTGCTGTAGCACCTCACACTGAATTAAAGGGTAGGAGCACTGTAGCGCGACCCTGGAAACTTCATTCTACGTCAGAGAAGGAATTCCCCATATAGACATTGCTGCAAGGAGAAGTTTTGCTCTGAAGGACCCATTGTGGCAGAGTCAGGGCTAGGATGGATATACTGAGGCAAAGTCATAGTACGCAACAGTATGCACTGGAGATTCCTGGCAGTACATCAGTCTGTAATTCACACTGGAGAGATTTCCATAATTCAGGCTGATCGTTTCTTTCTGTCCCGCACCTTGATACCCCACTCCTGTGACTTCTGTATTGCTGCTCTTAAAGGTACAGCAAAAATCTTTACTTCTGGCTCCTGTCTATGAAAGCTGTAAAAGCCTGCAATTTTTCTCAAATATTTTTTCCATAAAAACTGCACATAAAGAAAGGCTGGTAGAATTTCATGTGTGTTTTATGAACACTGATTCACTGACTCCTTAGTAGCCTGATTCAGATCAGTTTTAAGCTTATCCTGTTTTCCTCTTGACTTCATTCTGGAGTGACCACATTACTTATGAATGAGCAGGTGGTTGTGTTAATGAGGCCACATTTCAGTGATGCAGTTAGACACCTGCTTAACTCTGGTTAAATTAATCCCTATTCAGTAAAGTGGTTAAGCACATACTTGATGTCAGAGGTAGCCAAACTTTGTGACACAGATGATATCTTTAGTCCCAGCCCAATACATGTGAGGCTGCTTCAATTCCTTGTCCCCAGATCCAGCCAGTAGCGAGTAGCGAGGCTGAGCATATATTCCCAGTCGGGGCACATACACACACTCTTTACTGACAAGGCCAGCCACATGGATCAGCACAGAGAGAAAACAGTGCCTTTATCAGCACCCTCTCAAAAATATCAGTATTTGCATAAATATGAACAACTCAGCTTGATCCCGTTTCTCCCCTCCGGCTGATCAGGATTGAGGTTTGCTAGTGTTCATACGTTCAGACATAATATTGGTCTATCCAGTAGCTGGTCTTGGCTCGGTCTAAGCTCAGCTCTGTCTAGTAGTTGGCTCCAAAAACCTAGTCTCTCCCAGTTGCACCTGGTCCTACAAGACCCTTGGGCTTGTGGCCTGTCATTCCACTTGCCCAGTAGTCCAGCTTGCTGTTTGCTAGCATGCACACATGCATGTACACACACACGCACAGAGGCTTGAAATAAAGAGTGCACCACACAGAAGATAGTTAGAAATAGGAGTTAATAAAAATATGAGATAGACTGTGGTGATCAAGCACAGGGCTCAGACAAGTGTGCTGACCAGCAGTCTGTTTACATGCGACTGTCCCGTTTTATTCCCTTTTCCTTCTGTTTTCACACATTTGTTTCTCCCCTATTCTCCTTGATCCCTTTCTTTCCCCATCTTTGGTCATTCCCCTAAAAATCCCGTAAAGAGTTTTGCACATTCCCACAATTCCCTTAAAATATCCTACAACAAGATTTACACAGTCCCCAAATTCTCTTCCCTCTGCATCCCATAATAAGCCCCACACCACTTTAAGCAGTCGCCCTTTCAGTCTACAAAGCATTACGGGGAGACCGCTTGTCTGAGTGACTCATTTTGGTGGGCTTCCCACACAGAGACAACAGGCTAAGCCTTCTCCTTTGATGGTCTTTAGAGTCATGCGCTCTGTATTCACTGATGAGGTTAGGAGGGTTCCTCTGCCTCTGACTGTTCCTCTCATCATTGCTGGGTTTCTGTGTTCACTGTAATTAGTCTTTACTCGTGTAAGCTAACGTGTAAACACTTCTCTTAAAACCCTATTTTCACCCTTAAAATGATTTGCTTTTCAAAGGTGTTGAGCATTTACCTTGTGCCAGTTGGGTTCCTTTAGCAGATGTCAAGCTGCATATAGAAAAATCTGAGCTACAAAAATCCCAGAATCGCTGGTTATTTCTAAAATTCTTGATCATAGTCTTACGTGAAAATAGACAATGTCTAAGAAGCACTACAAATACTGCTGTTGCTATATAGCTGTCTAAAGGTAATAGCAAATGTTTAGGGACAGCTCCTATAATAAATGTACCAAAACCACAACTATCAACAAGATTAAGTTAGAAAAAAAAAAGAAAACAGTAGTGCTTGTGTCTTACCTGGAAGGCTACACTCCAAGTAGTTTTACAAATGGTGTGTGTTGCAGAGTTCAAGGACTCAAAAGGAGGAGAACTTTTGTTTCAATTCTTTTCTGTTCTGAAAATGTCGTGCAGCAGAATGTGACTGGTACTTCCTCATACTATCTGCCCTCTCCCTTTCTTTTTGAAAATAAAAATACAGCTAGAGGTGAGGTAAAAATATCTTCCTTATATACCTATGGCAGGTTGTCCGGAGTGCAAGCTAGGGGAGAACAGATTCTTCTCAAAGCCAGGAGCGCCAGTTTACCAGTGCACTGGATGTTGTTTCTCACGGGCCTATCCCACTCCTATGAGGTCAAAGAAGACAATGCTGGTTCCAAAGAACATTACATCAGAAGCAACGTGCTGTGTAGCAAAGGCTTTTACCAAGGTAAGGATGTGAATGAGACCAGTTTAAGCTAGGTATAGGATACAATATTTAACTGTATCAGTGAATAGAAAAGAACATAGTTTTGCTGGAGGACATTGAACAACTGAGGAAAACATCCTTGGCATTTATGCCCTTTGCACTTGAGTTCTTTTCTTTTTCTAAAGAGGAAATTTAAGTGTCAATTAATTTGGGATATGGAAATTAGTGCAGTGCCATAGACTTCAGTGAAACTACTTCACATCACCCGAAGATCTGGTGCTAAATACCTGTTCTACCTTGTTCTCCTGGATGTGCACCCTCTCCTTAAATGTCATGCAGTGTGCATTTCATTTTAATCAGTGATTTTCCTTGCTTCTTTCCTGCATAGGTAGGAGTCCTATGGAAAGGCAGCTGGTCAATATTACCAATCACATTTTTGGGAGTGATGGACCAAATCCATCTGTTCTCATTAGATTAAGTGAGATTATGTTTACTTTTAACAGTATAACCAAGAGGGAACTATAAACATGTGCAACTACTTACAGCATTTAACAGCCTCATCTGGAAGGTTCTACTAGAGATTCTGCTAAAGCTGATTATTTTTGGGGTGATTCAGCTACAGCTGAAGAAACCTCAACTTTGATGTAGGCAAGAGTGAGCTAGTTGATACAAGCTAAGGTATCTATCTTACAGTGATTTGAATTAGGCTCATTGAGTGTATTGACTAGAAGCTCAGTTCAGTTACCCACTCATAGAGATTTGGTGCCATTTGAGCTACCGTATGGTATTCAAGGCATCTGCACGTGGCTGTCAGATACAGGACCCGTGGAAGACCTTTTGGAGTGGCCACTGGAGGCTGGTTGGCATTGCCTTTGACATCCGAAATGTCCGTCAACATGTCTCTGCTGGCAACTGAACAGAGCCTGGACACCTGGCTCACCTGTAGACACCTACAGTTTAGGTATCTTAATTTATAGCTCAGCCCACCCTGGGTCTTCATCTCAGTAGTACATAGATCTTTTTTTAGATCACCAACATTATACTTTCCCTCAGGCAATACTAGAATTTGGTTGAGATTAAAAATAAAAGTGACTCATAATTTTAATGGTGTCTACTTTCATAGTCTCAACATGAAAAATTCTGAAGAGATTTCCTGCTTTTTCATAGCTTGAGTACTTGACACTTTTTCCAAAAAATAGACACTTTAGGAAATTAAGAACACCAAACTGCAGGTCACTGTTGAAACTCTTCTAATTATGTCTCTGAAAGCCACTGATAATGTAGTTCCATGGAATGGCATTCAGATGCTGCTCTAATGCACATATCGAAAGGGCTTATGTGCTGCTTGGGGTTAAGAAAAAGGCTTCAGAAATCTTTTTTTTAGAATGCCTTTTTAACAGTGTAGCTAATTATAATTATTTGTTATATGTGTGTGTTTTCTTTTTTTCAGATTACCCTTAAAGATAATGTGAAGATAGAGAACCATACGGATTGTCACTGCAGTACCTGCTACTATCATAAATCCTAAAGCCGGTCCCTTTGTTAATGATCAAGGACAACGGTTTTTCAGCTTTTATAGCATTACTGTGTAAAATCTTATGTTTTCTGGTCAAGACACTGAGTAGACCTTCCAATAAGATGGATGGCTGTTTTATTTCCTCTTTGCTTCTTCATGCATTTAAGTAAGTCTAATTATTTCCATTAGGGATAAAATACAGCACTTGCATGACAACGAAAGGCTTGATCTATTTTTAAAATAAACTGTCAGTTAAATCATCAATGTTTCTTGAGGAAAAATGATGATCTAATAGCTTAAAACAAAAGGAAAAGATTTTGCTGGAGTTAATTTCTAGGATTTTTTTTTTGTGGGAGAGCGAGGAAAGGAAGAAGGGAGAGATGGGAAAGTGGACAGAAAAAGAAGCAATAATTTCCTCTTATTCATTTAGTGATGTTTTGATTTTTCTGAAGATCCAGCATTTTGTTTCTCCTATTTCTTTTCTATTTTTTCTCTTCCTTGTGAGCAGATAGTTTAATGGTATAGATCTGTTCACAGTGCTCTGTCTTTCTATGGCATCTTTTATTTTTCTTTGAACTTATTTTCCTCTTATATAGATAAATGGATGCATGATCAGAGTCTATAAGGGATTTGTACCATTTGGTGTCGCAATGGTGGAAGAGAGAAGTGGTGTAGCTCTATTAGCTATTTAAGGTATGTCTGAGAAGCATGGTGTAGGATTTCATTAAGTCCCAAATGCTATGTGGTAGCTCCAAGTATACAAATGGGTAAGAGAGGGTATAAACATAGTATATGCGTTCAGAACACGTGACCTTAAAACCTTAAACCCTTAAAACTAGGGTTTTAGAGATAGCACTTGCTCAGTTGTAGTGGGTTGGAGTAGTGCCTGTGGAGGAACCACTTGCCAGTCTGGAGCCTGCCCAGGGGACCTGAGGTAAATGAATTCCATTTCTCTTAGCCCTACTGTCTGGGGTGAGAACATCAGTCCTGCTATGATTGCTGGCTGCGTGGGATGTAAACGTGCTGTGCTGAAAAGCCTCAGATATATTTGCAAGAGGATTTCCCTA